GACAAAGATGGAGAAAGGCTAACCATGGGCTGCTTGTACTATAATGACTTCCATAAGCTGTGTGATGTGAAGTTAGACTTATGTGTGTATTTGACCAGTACAGTGTGGAATGTGTATGCATTGGAATGAAATTGAATGCTTTTCATCACATAGGGTGTAGTGAATGATACACATGACCGGTGCTACTATTAGGCGAATAAGGCATTCACCTGGGGTGCCGGCATGTTAGGGGTGCCCACTGTGAGGTTTCCTGGTGGGCTGCCCTGCTGCAATATGAGGCAGGTGTGCTGGGGCTTCTTAGCCATCCCCCAGTGCAGCCATTCATCTACTGAGCTCGTTTCCTTACCTCCCGGGAAAAACACTCTGCTTGCTGCAGGCAGGGGGAGGCAGAACATGACTTGATATCCCAGCTGCCCCCTGCCTGTGAAGACTGGAAACACTCTGCAGGGAGCAGAAAGCAGCCTGTGCTTACTGTGCAGGGCTCTCCTGCTCCCTAGCAGAAACAAGAACACTTCCTGCAGACTAAAGGATGGTCCCCTTCTCCATTCACATTACCTAGTCCTAGGCCCATCTGGAGGTAAGGGGAACTGATTATTTTGTACATGATTGTACATTGGTGTGTGTACTGAACTGCTGTATGTGTAAGTAACGTGTGACTTTATGTAAAGTGGTGTGAGATTGTGTTTGAGTGATAGTGTGTGTTAGTGAGAGTGTGTGAGTGACACTGTGTATGTCAATGAGAGTTTGTGTGTGCTAGTGATAGTGTGTAAGTGACAATGTGTATGTCGGTGAGTGTGTGTGTGTTAGAGAGAGTGTGTAAGTGACACTATGTATGTCGGTTAGTGTGTGTGTGCTAGTGAGAGTGTGTAAGTGACACTGTGTATGTCGGTGAGTGTGTGTTAGTGAGAGTGTGTAAGTGCCACTATGTATGTCGGTGAGTGTGTGTGTCACTGAGTGTGTAAGTGACAGTGTGTGCATGTCAGTGAGGGTGTGTGTGCTAGTGTGTGTGTGACCATGTTAGGAGATTCTTATATATTAACTTGTAACATAATATATGTTAATATAATTCTATATTTAGCCAAAAAAAATGTTTACTTAAAGTTCACTGTAACATAAATTAAATCCCACCATTATTATAAATTAAATCCCACCAAATGCATTGATGTATGTACTAGGCAGTATAAATGTATGGATATATATTAGGCAGTGTGTGTGTATGGATATATATTAGGCAGTATGTGTGTATGGATATATGCATTTGGCAGTACATGTCTATTGATTTATGCACTAGCAACTATGTGTGTATGGATGCAGTAGCGTACCTACCACGGGCGCAGTGGTCGCAGCTGCGACCGGGCCCTTCACTGCAGGGGGCACGGCCGCAGCTACGACCCCTGTGACCGTTGGCCACCCCCTCCATGTTCCCCCTGTCATAGGGGGCCCAAGAGGTGGCCCCCTCCGGTGGGCGGCAGAGTTCCTGTCAGACGCGGCAAGGGAGCTGTGTTCTCTCTGCTCTGCCCCCTCGCGCTCCATTTACTGATGCCAGGAGCCGGAATATGATGTCATATTCTGGCTCTCTGCATCAATAGACAGCCCGTGAGGGAGCAGAGCAGAGAGAACACAGCTCCATCGCTGCGTCTGACAGGAACTCTGCCGCTTGCCGCACTGAAGCCCCACTGGACCCCAGGGACAGATCCACGCCAGCTCTCCAGTTGGGAGGCTGGGTGGACATTTGATATAAATATTTGTGTGTGTCTATAAGTGTATGTGTGTGTCTGTAAGTGTATGTGTCTGTAAGTGTATGTGTGTCTGCGTTTGTAAATGTGTGTGTCAGAGTGTATATGTGTGTGTGTCTGTAAGTGTATGTGTGTCTGTGAGTGTGCATGTCTGAGTGTGTGTGTCTGTAAGTGTATGTGTCTGCAAGTGTATTTGTGTCTCAATATGTGTATGTGTGTGTCTGTGAATGTGTGTGTCTGAGTGTATATGTGTGTGTCTGTGAGTGTGTCTGTAAGTGTATGTGTGTGTCTGTGAATGTACGTGTGTATATGTCTGAGTGTGTGTATATGAGTGTATGTGTGTGTGTCTCTACATGTGTCTGTATGTATGTCTGTATGTATGGGACTCTGTGTGTATGTGTGTCTGTCTGTATGTATGTTTCTGCATATGTATCTGTTTGTCTGCATGTGTGTGTGGGGGGGGGGAGCAGAGATGTATGGGGGGGCCCCAGGGCAATTTTTGCACCGGGGCCTGTGTTTCTAGTTACACCTCTGCATGGATGTATGTATTGGGCAGTATAAATGTATGTATTAGACAGTGTGTGTATGTATTGGGAAGTGTGTGTGGATTTATGTATCGGGCTATGTGCATATGGTTGATTGTATGTAATAGGCAGTATGTATGTATGTATGTATGTATGTAATAGGCAGTGTGTGTATATGGATTCAGATACTGGATGAGTGTGTATGTATTGGGCATTGTGTCTCTTTTTTTCCCTTAATGTCTGCTCACTGTGTCTCTCTCCTAAATTGTCTCCCAGTGTCCGTTTTCTAAATACCTCAACAGTCTCTCTATCCTTTCTCTAAATGTCTCCCCAGGCTGTTTCCGTTCTTTACATTTCTAGCAGGGGCTTCTGCTTTCACTTAATTATTATTATTATTATTATTATTATTTATATTGCGCCAACAAATTCCACAGCGCTTTACAATGGGTGGACTAACAAATGTAATTTTAATGAGACAAGTTGGACACACAGGAACAGAGGGGTTGAGGGCCCAGCTTGTGTCTCCTTCCCTAAATGTCTCTTCACTGCAATTCCGAATTTAGTGAATAAACCTCTGAGGGAATGTAGTTGCATTTATCCTTGCACCAGCCCTGATGATACAGATGACATGGTGAAGACCAATGGGTATTGTTTATGTGTAGTTAGAAACATAGAAACACAGAATGTGACGGCAGATAAAAACCGTTTGGCCCATCTAGTCTGCCCAATTTTCTAAATACTTTCATTAGTCCCTGACCTTATCTTTTGGTTAGGATAACCTTAAGCCTATCCCACACATGCTTCAACTCCCTCACTGTGTTATGCAAGGCTGTATTTGAGTAAAGTATCAGTGTGTAAATGCAGGGTTACATTTTTGTGGAATGTCTGTGTGTGAATGCAGGGGTGTATCTGTGTTGCGTGTCTGTATGTGAATGCATGGCTGTATTTGTATAAAAATCCTGGGTTATGTTTGTGTGGAGTGTGTAAATGCAGGTGTAACGGATCACCTGGCACCCCGACTGGGTACCTCCGTTGAAAGATGCTCCTAGCGCTTCCTGAGGACTCCAAGCACTGCAGCAGACACCACAACCACCGAACCGGAGAAACAAATAAATTCTCCCAAGCATATGAATGCTGTATACAGTTGAATAGGAAC